GGCGGCGGGAGCGGGAGGGGAGCGGGGCCGGGTTGGAACTGCCCCGCTCCGGCTGGCGGCGGCGGATCCCCGGGGTCCCCTGGGCTGGGGACGGGCTGTCGCCCCGACGGGCGGGTGCCTGGAATGTGCTGCTGGAACCCCGGTGCGCTGGGGATCCCCCAGGAGTGCCGGGAACCCCTAAGGTTGGGGATGCTGGTGGACTCCCAGGGCGCTGGGGAACTGCAGGGCTCAGGGTTCTGGGGACTCCCTGGGGTCCTGGGGACCTCTTTAGGCTGGGTGTGCTGCGGGTTCCCCGGGTGGTGGGACATGGCACCCCGGGCTGCTGCAGGCCGCTCTGGGGTGCTGGAGGGCACAGGAGTGCTCGGGGCTCGGGGTGCTCCTGCGTGCACATGGAGATCCCCCTCGGGGCTGTGCACGGTGCTGTGTGTGTACCTCGGCTTACCTGGGCTTCCCGCGTGTAAATTTAGTTTGATCCGAGCCCCTCCTCACAGCAGGACAAGCCCAGGCCGTCGCTGCTGATGCAGCCCCGAGGGAATCCGGAGGTGTTGGAAGGTGCTGCTGGGCAGCAAGGAAAGGGGTTGATGTTCTCTAGTGAAGCTGTCGGGAGCCTGTAGTGCTGTAGGTGTGAGCGGGCTGGTAGAGCTGATCTCCTCGTGGGTGAGTCTGTGTGTGGACTCTACACCTGTTGTGTGTGAGCTCAGGGAGGTCCCTGAGGGGCTGGAGTGGGTGCAGAGCCTGGGCGGCCCTTTGGCCTCCCAGCCAACCGAGTCATCGATGACGACAACTCCAGTCCAACCCTGAAATTAGGCTGTTGAGATGATAATTTCCCTTTCTCTCCCTGGGTCAGCATTGTGCACTCACCCACCTGGATTCAGCTCCTCCAGGAGCAGCTCCAGCATAGACAGCATGGCCACTTTGGCCTGGGCAAATAGGCACAGGCTCTCCCATACAGCCCTGCAGCAGGGAACAGGGACAGGAAGGTGTCGTGAGCCCTGGATACCTATTGCTGCACCCAGCCACAGTGCTGGCAGGTAACACTGCAGGTGACAGGCACGTGTGACAGCTGACTGTGTGAGGAGCCGGGATCCTGGCAGGCTGCTGGCAGTGGAGGAAGCCGTGTGCTTGCTCAGTGGTTTCCCTTTAACTTTGGAACAGCCTCAGTTCCAAGCTTCAGGGCTTATCGCCTGCTCAGCTACGAGGGAAGCATGCCTGGCTGAGATAAATCAAGCTGTGCTGGCCAGGGCGGCTCTGGACTCTGTTCTTCTCACATTCCTCATGACCTCAGTATTTTGGCTCAGGAGGAGAGCCAGGGAGAACCCTCTCTGTGTCCAGCGCTGGCCCTGCCGGTGGAGCGGCTCGGGCTGCGCTGCAGCAGGTGGTTGAACCAGGCTGAGGGCTGCTACAGCTGTGGCCCCGGGGAAGAAAAGGGCCCAAAGGTCTCAAGCTTTAGGAACAGCTCTCCCAGACCTCTCCTCTGCCAGTGCAGGAGCTTGGGAACCCTAAGGGGAAATTGTCCCATGAGGCCAGGGGTCACAAGGTGCTGCCTGCAGCTGGGGCTGGGGCAGGAGGCCCGGGTGGTACCTGGGCTGTGCCAAGGTGCCCAGCCTCCCTCATTCCTGACATGACTTCTGATTGTAATTGTGCAGAGCAGCGCCAGTTTTGGCCCCAAGTTTCCCATATTTGCATTGGTACAACAGCATGAGGGGAAAATACAGGTGTGAGCTGAAGCTGCTGAAAATCAGCCTTTGGCACCAAAGTGGCTGGTATAATTTGCCCCAGCAAGACTTCAGCCCAGATGGAGGGTGGCTGCCTGTGTGGTGCCATGGTTGTGGCAGCCAGGTCAGGCTGTGCTGACAGTGGCTGGACCATGGGTGTGGGGACTCAACCTGCTGCACACTGGGACCATCTGCCCCCACTTGTCCAATCCAGCCCCACACCTCTTCCCTAGCCCAGGGACAGTTTGCACAGCCCGAGGAGCCTGGGGGATGTTTGCTCCTTGGAGGAGGGTTTGAACACCATGGGGTCCGTGGGGCCACTTGAACATGGTTGGTAGCTGGCAGGTCCCATTATCATTTTTGGGGCTGGGTGAAGACAGAAACTTGTGCTCTGGTCCAGCCCTGTCAGACCAAAAGAAATGGGGTCTGGAAGCAGTGGGAGAATGTCCCCCACAGTTGGGATGCAGCTGCAGACATTGGCTGAAGGGGCCATAGGAGGTGGCAGGTGACGAGCAGCCTGTCCCCAGCTCAGTGGAGGGGACACCAGAGCAGTGCTGATGCAAAGGGCACCTTTGCTGCTGGAGTGGTGTGGGAGGTCTCCAGGCCTTGGCAGAGGAGGCTTTTCCTGTCCCCAGGCAGGACAATACCCAGGCTGGGCGGCGGAAGGGAGCTGCCGGCCACTTCCTCCTGAGGAAACGCTCCCGCTGGCTCTGGCTCCTGTTGCTCTCTCTTCCTTTTTGATTTACAACGTGTGTGGAGCCCAGCGGGAAGTTTGTCCTGGCCCCAGTACTGTTTAATTACCTGCAGCAAGGGCCATGCAGAGGAGGAAGCCAAACTCTTCCCAGGGTGGGAGGGATTAGAGGAGGTGGGGGATGTGTGGACCCTCCTGGGCATGAAGCCAGCAGCTTGGGAATGGTGGATGCCAGCATGGAGCTGGGACGTTACCAGGGAGGTGGAATGGGTGCCTGCTCGAAGGTGGGATGATTCCAAGGGAGGTGGAATTTGGGATGTGTATTGGCTGTCGGTGGGTAGGCAGAGGAGTGGGTGAGCCCCAAAATCTGTCCTGGTGGCTAGTGGGAAGTGTTTTATCTCTGCCCAGTTGGACTCTGTGCCCAGCCTAAGCCTGGCCTGGTGCTGCCTCAGCTGCTCTGCTCCACAGGGTCAGGGGGAACGAGGGCTGGTGGCTGCAGGGCTGGGGAATGGCTGCAGCATCGGCCTGAGGGGCAGACGTGGGTGTTTCTGTGCAGCCAAGGCCAGATCCTGCGCCGCTCCCTGGGCAGCTCTGAGCCTCAGCTTCCCTAAGGGCTGTGCCCAAGCCACCATTCCTCTGTGGCATTTCTCCTCCCCTGCTTTCTTCTGAAAATAGCCCAGTGCCAAATGCTTTGCCCACCAACAGCTGCTCAGCCCTATGGCCACCTGTGCTCCATGGGCACAGCCATTGGAACTCTGGTGCTGTGCACAGCAGCAATGGGTGCTCCCAAGGTGCTGTTGTCCCATCCTGCTCCTGCCAGGAGCACTTCACACCTGGGCTCCAGCATCCAGATGCTGCCAGATGTTGCAGCAGGTCCTAGATCAGTGCTCACAGCTGGTCGCACCCCCAGCCATGAGCTCACTTCTGGACCACAGCCGTATCCTCTTGGCCCTCCTCCAGTGTGTCCATGCCTGGCTCCTGGGAAAACCAGGCTCCCATTTCATTCCCCTCTTCCTTATCCCACATTATGGATAGGGGAAAGCAGTCAGGTCCCACCTGGGGGCCATTGGCCCCTCAGGACATTCCTGAGGCCTTGTGGGGCACCCTGGATGGCAAGAATGGGCATCACACCCGGCACTGACAGGTGCTGGCAGCTCCCTGCAGTCACGTGCCTTTGCCAAAGCATTGTTTCCCTTTATCCAAAGCAAACTTCACACTGAGTATTGCACCTATACAGGTTTCAGCCTCTCTTTTTTTCTGGCCTGCTCCCACTGTATGGCCAAGCTCCAACTCGTGACCCTCAGAGCTGGCAGCACGGCCATCCCAGCTGAGCTGTGGAGCATTCCTTAAATGTACAAACAATCCTGGCGCCACAGGCAGCACCACACTCGCCCAGCCACCGGCTCCAATGTCAGCCCTGGGCTGGGGGGAGCCAGGGGACCTGGCAAATGGCAGGGGGCAGCCACAGGGCTCTCCTCGGGTGGGGCTCAGGGCTGTGTGGCTGCCTGGGGCTCACCAGCCCTGCGATCACAGGGTTTGGCTGGACGTGGTCTCGTTGCAGGTTGATGGTCTTCTGGTCAGCAGCATTCTGGGAAGAAGATGGCTCAGCCAGCACCCCTGAACCAGAACCTCCCAGGTAAAGAGACCAGGATTGTCACCAGGTAGTGACAGCGGAAGGGGTGCAAGGGGGGTGGCAGGGCTGAGCTGTCCTGTCTCATGCCAGTGGAGTTCCTCACTCCAGCACAACCCTGACATGGACTGTGTGCCCTGTGATACTCTAGGGCACCGAGGGTGCTGGACACAGACACATCGCACATCATGGAGGAGACGGGCCTGCAGGCTGTAAATTCCAGTATAACCCAGTTAGAAAAGCCATCCTGTCTCCACTAACCATCCCTTCTTCTCTTGCAGATCTTGGGGGCCCGTTCTTGTATCGGGACCAGGACGATGGAGAGAAGAGCTCGTATTCTGTGGAAACCCCTTACGGCTTCCTGCTGGACCTTGATTTCCTGAAATACGTTGATGATATTGAAAGTGGCCAAACACTCAAGAAAGTGCCACTGCCTCGCAGGGTGAAAGGGTCCCGTCCACCGCCCAGCACGCTGCGCAGCCCCAGCAGCCACACCAGCGCCTGGACCTCCACCGAGTCCCTCACCTCCACGGCCAGCGAGGAGGGCAGGACTGCGTTGCTGCTGTCCCCTCACGGCCGAGCACCCCTGGAGCCTGCGAGCAAGCCAACCTCCCACCCCATCTCACCGCCGCCTGTACGGCTGCTCCCACCTCCCACCCGCAAGTGCCTCGTGCCAAACCCTCGGGTGGAGAAAACCTTGCTGGAGACAAGCAGGAGGCTGGAGCAGGAGCAGGGCCGTTTGCAGGATATTGGTGGTCCCTCCCACACTGGCCTGCCGGGTGCCCTGGGCCAGCCACCCCACTGGGTGCCAGTGGGCACCGAGGGCCAGGCAGGCTGGGGCCGGGTGAGCCCTGGCAGCTCGGGGCGCAGCACTCCAGCTGCAGGGCTCGGCACGGCCCCGCTGCAGCACGTGCGGGAGCAGATGGCTGCAGCCCTGCGACAGCTCCGGGACCTGGAGGAGCAGGTGAAAACCATCCCACTCCTGGAGATGCAGATCTGCGAGTTGAAGAGGGAGAAGGCAAAGTTGCTGGAGAAGCTGTCGGCAGAGCCTGGCGAGGCATTGTATCACCCCTCTGGCTCTGAGGCAGGGGCAGGGGCTGAGGAAGCACCCCGTACAGGGCCAGAGAGTGAAGCAGAGCCAGGGAAGGGGCGAACGAGCAAAATTGCAGAGCTGAGGAAGCTGACAGAGAAGCTGGCTGTGCCAGAGCGGAACATCAGGGCTTGGCCAGGCAAGAGCCCCAGGGTGGCTGAGAGGCCGTGCCGCTCTGTAGCAGTGGGTGAGGATCGGGCCATGACAGATGCCGTCTTCTACTACCGGTCGCAGCAAGAGAGTGGGGACACGCCAGACAGTGGCACACAGGGACGCAGGGATGTGGCTGTCTGGGTGATAGAGTCCTCGCTGGGGCTGGCCACTGAGGCAGAGCGGGAGCTGGAGCTGCTGCAGCAGACGATAGGGCACCAGAAGGAGGTAATCACCCTGATGGAGGGGCACCTGCAGGAGGCCACGCGGGAGCTGGAGGAGCTGCGGCTGGAGGTGTGCGCCCGCCGGCCCCGCGGGCAGGTGGACAAGGAGGTGATGGCCATGCCGCAGGTGGCTGAGGCACTGGTGGAGGCTGTGGTAGTAACACAGAGCCGGGCAGCTGGTGACCCCCCAAAGACAGTGGAGGCAGGTGTGGAGTGCTGTCCCCCAACCTCCTGTGTCGCTGTGGGCTGCCGCCCTGACGGGCGGGACGTGGCAGTTGGACCCGATTCAGCTGCCAGCTGCGATGACAAGGGCAGCCAGACAGATGTGGGCAGCGCTGTCCTGGCAGGAGAGGAGAAGGAGCCCGGTGTGGGTGAGGTGATGGAGCCTGGCCTGGGTGATGGCCCGAGCAGCCCCTCAGCGCCAGGTGCAGGAGCAACGGCGGGGATGTGCCCAGACAGCCAAGGCCCTGGGCCAGCTGTGCTGGAGACAGCACACAGCAACTGGGACCCAGCCCCAGCACAGGACAGTGGAGCTGCCCCAAGCCCTGCAGCCGGTGAGTGTCACCAGGGATGATGCCAGGGTCTGGGTTGGAATGTTCCTGCAGGAAGGGAGAGGAGGGCCTTGTTGGGGACAGTGCCTGCAGGGCCAATGCTGCCCATGCTCCAGCAGTTGCCCATGTCCCTTCCATGCCCGCCCGGGGGTCTAGTGTGTTTGGGGTGCTTGGCTAGCTCCAGAAGTAACTGTTTACAAGAGCACGTAGTGACAGGACAAGGGGGAGTGGTTTCAAAATGACAGTAGGTTTAGATTAGATATTTGGAAAAATTCCTTACTGTGAAGTGGTGATGCCCTGGCACAGGTTACTTAGAGAAGTTGTGGATGTCCCATCCCTGGAAGTGTTTGAGGCCAGGTTGGGTGGAGCTCTGAGCAAGCTGGTCTAGGGGAAGGTGTCCCTGACCATGGCAGTGGAGTCGAAATGAGATGGTTTGTAAGGTTTCCTCTAACCCAGACCATTCCATGATTCTAAAATTCTATGATTCTTGCTCACTGGCCCTTGACATCCATCTCTTTCCCTGTAGGAGCCCTGAAGTCCATCATGAAGAAACGGGATGGTCCTCCCCGGAGTGAGGCAGAGGGCAGCAAGAAGAGCCTGCAGTTTGTGGGAGTGCTGAACGGAGAGTATGTGCTCAGGGGCTCCTGCCACCCCTGTGAGCCAGTCCTGGTCCCCTACATCCCTGTCCTGGGCTAGGGCCAGTGGCAGGGCCTGAAGGGGGCCAGACTGGTGCTGTGTTGCCACTGAGCATCCTCCCTCTGTGCAGGTATGAGAGCACTTCCAGTGAGGAGGAGGAAGAAGGCAACAGCTCCTCTGAGAAGGCTTCGGCCGACAGCTCCAACAGTTCAGAGCAGGGAGACACCGAAACCTCAGAAGAGGAGGCCGGGGAAGGCACGTGCGAGCCCAGACTGGAGTGCAAGGGGACTGATGTGACCCTGCTGGAGCCCCCCGAGGTGAAGGAAAAGTAAGTGCCAGTGGAGAAGGCTCCCTGCTCCCTGGCCCTGGTCAGCTGGGAGCCATGGCACTGGCCCTGCCAGCTCGGGGCATCTGCCCCAATTTCAGTGCTGCCAGTGGGAAAAACCCATTCAGCTGCAGAGACCATTCATCAGGAAACAATCCTTCCAGTTTCTTGGGTCTGCTAAGGAAAGGATGAGAGGCCCCAAATGCTTCTTTGCTGCAGAAGATAGTTTAGCGTGGGACAAAAAAAACAACAGCCTTCAATAGCATTTTTCAACAAAAGGAAAAAATGTGGCCTAAGAATGGCGAATCATGCCCGAGCACATCCATATAAGGCTCTGTTCTATGGAGGTTTGCAGAGGCTGAAGCAGCCAGGGTGCAGCCACCGGGCTGGAGGTTGCACCCTGGGGACCTTGTGGAGAGTTACAGCACTGCAGAGCTCATAGGTTTGGTGGGGTGGTGCAGCCCCACACCGGGAACATCCTCATGCTCTCCACAGGTTCGAGCTGAGCCCCAGGATGAGGGAGGCCTGCCTCATTGTCAAGACCCACCTGGGCCACCCAGGTGCTGCCAAGAGCAAAGAGGTGGTGAGTGGAGCACTGGGGTGGGATGGCTTGCCCAGCCCCTGCCAACATCCCCCAGAGCTGGCCCTACTTAGAGAGGGGCCAGCAAAGCCTGGCTCAGCACCTCCCTCAAAATACAGCCCTTTGCTCCAGGTTTTGTCCAGAAACTCCAAAAACCACGTGGACTCAGCTCAGGCCGTGCCCAGCATGGGTTTGGGCAGTTCAGGGTCCTGCCTTCACCCACCCCCTCTGGAGCAGGGATTCTGCTCCCTGCCACCTGGGCTGGCAGCAGGGGGTGGGTGCCAGGGTGTGAGGGCATGCAGAGGCTTAAGGGGAGCTCAGCCCCTCTCTGCCCACAGCTCGCCAGCAGCAGCCTGGTCCTTCAGGAGTGGTTCCGTCTGTCCAGCCAAAAGTCGTCCATCCCTGACACGGTTGCCAACCACCTCCTGGCCTTTGCAGAGGTCTCACCGGCTCTCCTGGCCCACGTGGTGAACCTGGCAGACGGGAATGGCAACACAGCCCTGCACTACAGTGTCTCCCACTCCAACTTCCACATTGTGTGGCTGCTGCTGGATACGGGTCAGTGCCCCCCAGCCCCAGAAACATCCCCTGGCCACCATCCCACTGTATCCCAGGTCATGTCCTGGCCCTGTCAGCACAGGGGAAAGGCATTGGCAGCAGAGGGGTGAGGAGAGCTGCCCTGGGCTGTATCTGTTCATAGGTGTGGGGGTCACCCCAGCCCGTTTGGGAACCCAGATTGCATGGGGGAGACCCATCAGCAGTTCTGTGCCTGTGGGAAGGTTCACAGCACCCTGGGCAGGACTGTGAGGGGGAGCCAGGCACGTGGCGTGGTCCATGTCTCCCACCAGCCCTGCAGCATCCCGAGTCCCCTCTGCCCACTCCCACAGGGATCTGTAATGTGGACCACCAGAACAAAGCTGGGTACACCGCCCTGATGCTGGCAGCACTGGCAGCCGTTGAGCAGGAGGAGGACATGAACGTGGTCAGGAGGCTTTTCAGCATGGGCAACGTCAACGCCAAGGCCAGCCAGGTTGGTGCAGTCTGAGGACCACCACATCCTGAACCTCCCACCCCCAGGCAGATGCCAGAGCCACACTCAGCTCTTCCAAGGGCAGGACAATTACTCCAAAACCTGGAGGTGCCAGTGCTTGGGGAGGGCATCATTTTAGGAGCTCCTCCTGCCTGGCAGCAGGGCTGTCTCAGCAGTGGTCCTGTGGTGTGGGGACAAGTGGGTAGCACAGCGGGGGCAGCCTGGCAGCGTCCCTTCCTTGCAGGCTGGCCAGACGGCGCTGATGTTGGCTGTCAGCCACGGCCGGCAGGAGATGGTGGAAGCCCTGCTCGCCTGCGGGGCCGATGTGAACCTGCAGGACGAGGAGGGCTCGACCGCGCTGATGTGTGCCTGCGAGCACGGCCGCCTGGAGACCGTGAAGCTGCTGCTGGCTCAGCCCACCTGCAACATCTCCATCGTGGACAGTGTAAGGTTCTGCCACTGGGCCTGGGCAGCCCACATTATGTCCTGTCCCCAAAGCCCTTTCTGCATGCTCTCCCTTGCTTTCTAGGACGGTAACAATGCTGTTGCCATCGCGCTGGAGGCCGGTCACAGTGACATCGCTGCGCTCCTCTACGCCCACCTGAACAGCACGAAGGCGCAGGTACCCGTGAGTACCACACCACTCCCCAGGGGAGGGAAAGGGCTGAGACACAGATGAGTGTCTCCAGGAACAGGTTGCAGGAGCAAGAGCAGAGCATTTCAGGTGCCATGTGCTCAGAACAGCCCTGCTAGCCCTGACCAGGAGTCACTGGAGGGGTCTCAGGTGACTATTCTCTTTGCAGCAGGGGACTTCACCAACAGCCACAAAGAGCCCTGGGAATCCAAAGAAACCAAATTAGAGTGACCTTGGGATCCAGCCAGGGACCACCATCAGCACTGGGCTGTGATTCACATCCCCTCACCTGCCACCTCTCTGTGCCAAACCGCTCTCTGCAGCTTTAGTCCTGTCACAAGCACCATCCCTGGGCCTCCCTCACCTGCCTCCTTCACTGGATGCAGCCCACACGTGGCCACCTCACCACCAAGTGACTGCAGCCAAGTGACTTCGGGGCAGGACATGCAGGGAGCAGAAGCCACCCCATCCCCTCTGCTCCCTGCCATGACCACCGGAGCTGTGCCACCTCTGAGCCCTCAACATGGAGGAACAGCAGAGAACCAACTCAGCAGAAACAGCACCCGGTTTGTGCTCTCTGGCAGCTCCGAGAAGGCAGCAGTGCCAGTGAAGAAGGCAGGAGGGCACGTGACAGGTCCTGGCCCCAGCAGGGACACTGTGCCCTGCAGGCACATCCTGTACAGCAATGGGAGAGGGAATGCTGCCTTGGACAGGGGCTGGGACTATTTCCAGACTCAAATACTTGCCCTTCTTTTCTGGCATTTCCTTTCCTGGCTGAAATCTGATTTTTTTCCTCTTTTCAAGCACATGCATACAAAGCAAAAAAATTATATTGCTTGGCCAAGGGATGAAGTTCAACATGAAATCACTTGGGATTTTATTTGCTCAATGGAAGCAAAACCTCTGAGCAGTCAGGGTTGCAGCCAAGTGACAAAAGGGGCTGAGGATGCATTTGGGGACTAAATCTGCCTATCTTATAACCCTCAAGGGGAGCAGGTCCTTCTCCCAGGGAACAGAGACCAATTACCTCCTAAACACTTCCCCAATTAGCCAGTCCCACAGACTGTGCAGACAGCCAGAGCCTACAGCAAAGTCCCTCTCTGCCCACTTTCCATCCCAAAAGGGAGGAGAGCAGCTGAAGATAGCACCAAGAAAAAACACAAGGGCCAGAAGAGCTCAGAGCACACACGTGGAGGCTGCAAAGGGGAACATGTATGTCAGAGAACGTGTCTGTGTAAGTGTGTCAGCACCGTGTGGGGTAGGAGCAGGGTAAGGACAAGGACCAGGAGGAAGAATGGTATTGCATGGCAATGCAGCTGTGCTCTGAGCCCTTCACAAAGGTAGTGTGTTGTGCCCCCCATCCCTGCTCCTTGGCCCACCCTTCCCACTTCTGCCCCTGCCTGAGCTGCTCTGAGCTGGGGAGCCCCACAGCCCTCTGCAGAAACTTGCTCTCAGCTTTGCACTGGAGTTAATATACAGCGCTTGCTGCCACTCCCTAATACACTACTCTGTTTACTTGTATTTTAATACTGATGTTTATTTTTAAGATATAAATAAAATTTAAAGTTATTTTGAAATATTACTGTGACATCTGCAGTCTCTTGCCTTCTTGTCTGGCTCACAACAAACCCTGCAAGAGCTGCAGCAGAGGCACAGCCCCCGACCTGAGCAGGTGACCCCACATTCCAAGTCATTCACTGCAAGTTTATGCACTGGCCACATCCCTCAGTCTGGTTTTCTTCCTGCTGAAGTGTCCCAGGCAGCTGCAGGGGTGTCTTTGCCCATTTCTTTCTGCAGCCCTGCACCACCCCTGGTTCTCTGTGGTGCTGATGTTACACAGCATCCATACAGGGCAATCACCGGACCAAGTGTGGAGATGCAAAGTGCCTCCTCCTCAGGTGGACAGGGACCAGGCTGACCCCACAGGGAGATCCCAAAAGCTCTCTAAGCCACTCTGAGCAAGTCACCCAGCACTGAGGGCTGGCAGGGGCCAGAGCAAACACTCTTGGGTAACTGATGAAGCTGTGGGGGAATGAACAGCAGCCACAGAACTGAACCCTGAGAGGACTTCTGGCACACACAACCAGATCTGAGCTCTGCTGCGTCACACAAGCCAGGGAGCACAGCCTTGTGCCAATTCTCTGAAACTGAAACCCCCAAAGAATCACAATCTACATCAAGCAACAACACAAACACAAGGGCTTTCTCCATGGCACAAACTCCTCACATCATGTTGCCCATGAGCTGCCCAGGGCACAACTAAAACTGGCAGAAAGGACAAATCCCACAAACACTCTAACATCAGCCCTACAACAATCCTCAGTGCCCACTCCAGTCCAACATAATGCACATCTGCCCCAGCAGTGCTCTGCTCAGCTTTAGGACACCCAAACCCTCAGTCACACCTGCCACTGAACTGCCTCAGTCAAGCTCAGGACCCTGTAGACAAAACCCACTCCCATCAGAGACCATACATGAGAGGCTACAGATCTGACTGCCCAAACACACCACAAACCTGGACCACTCTATAAGCAGATAAAAAATGCCAATCCTTAAAAACCTGCCCTTGAACCAGCAGTTTTAAGGCTCATTCTAAACTTTTCAGCCCTACTTTTGATTTATGTAATACCCTAAAACAACACATCTTGCTAAGTGATTTTGTGGTGGAAAGGAAATCCAAAGAAAGTGAGATGGAGTAGTCAGCAGGAGTGACAAGCACTTGCTCTCTGTGGGTGACTGCCAGGGAAGTCAGCAAGTAGGTGTATTTATGGCAGCATTCACTGAGCAGTTTACTGAGAACAGACAGACAGAAGCAGCAGGCTGTTGCTTTGAAAGCTGGTACCAAGCCTGACTTTCAACTTGTCTTTAATTCCACTGAGGTCCAGTAAGTTTCCAGTGCCACTTCACCATCACATACAGAAAATTGCTTACCAGGAAAGTCAGGATTAAGGCTACTGTAATCAAAACAATTATTTTCGTTGTGACAGGTCAATAAAGATGCAGTAACAGTGATATTACAATGAAGACACCATGTGTAACCCCAGTAAGAAGCAGGGCATGTTGCTACTGAACCCGAGGAAAGCGGCAGGTGCTCAGGTGTGAGACAAACCAGAGGTGTCGGGTGGCGCTCGATGAGTGAAACCCGGGCAAGGGGCTACTGGAAAAACCCTTTATTGCAGTGACCCGGCTGTCACGCTCCTCCCCACCCGCGCCCCACGGCCGAACGAGATGCGCCAGGCTCCATCCCCGACGGACGATCCGGCAGCAGGAGGGCCGGGTCCAGCTCAGCGCAGCCGCCGGGCCTCGCGCTCCGACTCCAGCAGGGTGAGAACGTCGCCCTCGCGCACCGGCCCCTTCACGTTGCGGATGATGGAGCGGCTCGTGTCGTCCATGAACTCCACACGCACCTGCAGGGCGGGCCCGCGTCAGCCCAGCCGGGCCCGGCCCGCGGCACCGCGCCCGCCCGGCCCCGCCCGCTCACCTGAGTGCACTGCCCCTGAGAGCCGGTCCGGCCCAGCACCTTGGTGACCTGCGGGGACAGAGCGGAGGGTCAGCGCGGTGTCGCAGCGCGGTGTCGCGGCCCGGCGCGGGCCCCAGTACCCACCCTGGCCAGCTTGATGGGCTGCACGCGGCTCGTGTCCATGGCGGCTCCGGGGCGCGGAAAGGGGCGGTGAAACCCCGCGTGGCCTTATATAGCTCCAAGTCTCGCGAGACCCAGCGTTCCGCGCGCGCGCTCCCGGCAACCCCAGCGCCCCTGCCCTTCACCGCGGCCAAGATGGCGACGGCAACTCGTCTGATCCAGCGGCTCCGCAACTTCCTGGCGGGGGTAAGAACAACCCCGGGCTCGGGGCTCCTCTGCCCCGCGGGACGCTGCGCTGCGCCCCCGGCTCCGCGGAGCCTCCGGCGCAGGGCGGCAGCTCCGCCTGAGCTGCTCTGGCCTTGCCTTGCAGCGGGATCTCCAGCCGAAGCTGCAGCTGCGCTACGAGGAGATCGCTAAGAGGTGCCGGGGCCGGGCCGGGCCGCGCGGCGGGCGGGGCGCTGAGCCGCCCCCACCCCGGCCCCGCCGCTGACGCTCGGGTCGTTCTCTGCCTAGGACCCAGCCGCCGCCGCGGCTCCCGGTGGGCCCCAGCCACAAGCTCGCCGATAACTATTACTGCAGCCGGGACGGGCGCCGGGAGTCGCTGCCGCCCGTGGTGGTGGCGGCGGCGCAGAGAACCCTGCCCGCGGGGGCACAGGCCCGCAGGTAGGTCTGACGCGGGCGGAGCTGCGGCGCTGCCGCCGTGGATCGGGGTCAGCCTTGTTCCTGATTTGTACCAGGAGCACAGAACGTGCCCAGCGGCAGTGGGAAGTTATCCAGATTGGCGAAAGAATGTGGAACTGATTATTTGGGTCTATATTTTCCTGCAAATAAGTGAGGCAGAGGACGTTCACTCACTCTGCTTTGGCGATACCCCACCTGGATCACCTGTGTCCAGCTCTGGGGCCTCCAAGAAGGGACCCGTTGCATCGAGTCCAAAGGAAGCCACAGAGATCCTCCGAGGGCTGGAGCCCCTCTACTCTGGAGCCAGGCTGGCAGAGCTGGGGGTGCTCACCTGGACAAGAGAAGGCTCCAGGGAGAGCTCAGAGCCCCTTGCAGGGCCTGAAGGGGCTCCAGGAGAGCTGCAGAGGGACTGGGGACAAGGCCTGGAGGGACAGGACCCAGGGAATGGCTGCCACTGCCAGAGGGCAGGGCTGGATGGGATCTTGGGCAGGAATTGTTCCCTGGCAGGGTGGGCAGGCCCTGGCACAGGGTGCCCAGAGCAGCTGTGTCTGCCCCATCCCTGGAAGTGTTCAAGGCTGAATGGAACTTGGAGCCACTTGGGATGGTGGAAGGTGTCACTGCTTGTGGCAGGGGCTAGAGCGAGGTGGGCGTTAAAGTCCCACTCAATCCAAACCATTCTGGGACTTTTGATTAACAAACACCTCCAGCACTACTTTGCAGCTTGGACTTCTGATGAAATTCAAGTGTGATTTCCAGAGTGTTGCTAAAGCCTCTTCTCTTTCTTCCTTTCTCTACCCCAGTTCAGGCACTGCAGTGACAACAACAGGGAAGAAACCAGTGACACCAGGACCACCACTTAGGAAGTGGGAAATTTCCAGGGACGAGCCCTACTTGTGAGCAGGGAGCGAGCTGAGGCTGTGTGATGGGCACACATGGTTCCAGAGCTGCTCTGATGTGGAGGAGGCTGTGCTAGATGTGGCTCCAGGCTGCTGGAGGGTGCTGATGTCTGATTAATAAATGTATATACAGCTGTGATTACTACCCCCCATTTTGTGTATTTTATTTGATTTATTCAAGTTACTGCTGTTTAATACCAGTGTATTTGGTTGGTTGGAATAGTGGCACAGGACAGGGGCATTTGTAAGCTGTAGTCAGTCAGTGAAGAGCAGAGCTGAGTAAAGCACAGCCTCGCTCACATGGCTCCCCCCGGGACCAGGTTCTGTGGGAAAAGTTCAGCAGCCTCGGCAGTCGCCCCCACGGCCAGTGCCGCTGTCCTGCCGGGTCCGGCAGAGCGCTGCCCAGCCCTCCGCGGGGACAGCAGGTCACTGCGCACCGCGGTGCGGAGTGTTTCCAGGGGCCTGCGGGAGGGCCCGGCTGTCGCTGGCACGGGCACGGTGCGGGGCCGGGGCCGCGGCTGCGGGAGCGCCGCTCGCCATGGGCGGGCCCGCCTCGTCACGTGACCTACGGGGCCCGCCCCGAAGGGCACGGGAGGTGGGAGGGGCTTTCTCAAGGGCGCGCGCCCGCGCCCCGCCCCCACGAGCACCCCATTGGTGGAAGTCGGGGTTGAGAGCCCGCGCCCCGCCCCCACGAGAGCCCCATTGGTGGAAGTCGGGGTTGAGCGCACGCGCTTTTCCTGCACACTCTGCGTTTGTAGCGGCGCGGCGACCCTAGCGAGTCCCTCCGGTGCGGGCCCGCGGCATGGCCGGGCCGCGACTGCTGCCGCCAGGGCTCCCGGTGCTGCTGCTGCTGGCGCTGCCGGTGCTGCCGCTCCCCGCAGGCAACGGTGAGCTGGGGGAGCGGCCGGGCGGGCGGCGCCCATTGGTTCCCCGCGCACGCCCTTCGCTCTCATTGGTTGGAGCCCTCGTGCGCCCCGCGCGCGGGGGTCTCCTCGTTGAGGGGCGCGGGGGGGGCTCTCCCCGCTGGGCCCCCCCCCCCCCGCCTCCCCTCACGCTCCCGTTCCCCGCAGCCGCCCCGTCCAGCTGCCGCCCGGACCAGTTCCAGTGCGCGCCCGACGGCCTCTGCTTCCCCCAGGACTGGCGCTGCGACGGCCACCCCGACTGTGAGGACGGTGAGGACGAGTGGAGCTGCGGAACCGCGACCGCGGCGGAGCCGAGTCCCGGCGGCCTCGCGGTGACTCCGCCGAGGAGCTCGGCGGTGCCGCCCACCGGCAGCGCAGGTACGGGGCCCCGGGGTGCGGGTGGGGGCGGCAAGCCGGACCGAAGCCTTTGTTCCCCGCCGTCTCTGGCCGATCCGGGCAGCTGCGGTCACCGCGGGTCACTGTGGGTGGAGGAAGCGCTGTGGGGGACGCGCACCTTCAGCTTCCTTTGGAACGGCAATGACGCCCCTCAGGGCTCCCTCGGGAAGGGCCTTTGAAGTACATCCTTCCTTCTTCCAGAACATGCAATTCCCAGCAGCTGCTTCAAAAAGACACTGGAACCTGTCCACCTCCCGAGCTCCTCTGATCTCTGGGGAATGGGCAGGCTGAAGGGAAGAGGATGAGGAGGAAGTCTGGGCCATCAGGGCCGGCCAGGAGCTGCAGACACAGTGTCTGGGCTTGTGTCTGGCTGTGTCTGCACCCCAGTACTGCCGGTACCAGAGCCCTGGGGCATCCTTTGTCAGACCCACTGGCTGTCTGGGGTGCTTGGGAAGGTGCTTCTGGCTTCCCTGACCCAGGGGTTTCCGAGGGTGTGGAGAGGAGGGGGATTACTGCAGGTGCGAGAGTTTGGGTTTGGGTTTGATGTCTGCACCCGTTCAATTGACAGGTGAAGGGAAGAGCTGCATTTTGGTTGCACCTGTGGCTTCTCAGTGCCACGAGGACCGGCTGGGGTGCTGCAGTTCCAGCTTCAGCTGGGAAATTTCCCACATTTCCCTGTTATGCATTTCCAGTAGAACGTTTTTCCTCCAGTAGCAGCAGATAAGGTTTTGCTTAAATTGAAAAAGGCCTTTTGGTGCTCTTGAGGTGAGCTGGGAACTCAGCCAGGTGTAGATTGAAGACTGCTTTGAGTGCTGACCATAAAGTGAGTTGGAAGCCTCATGGACTTGTTTCTCTTTCCTCACAGAGCCTTCAGCTACATCTGAGGTCTCTGTGCCATCGAGGAGTCAAGGTTACACATGGATCTTGATTGTTGCAGGTATGTGAGACTCAAGAGTGCTGCACATGGTCTTGAACCTACCTACCTTGGGCTATAAATTGAGTATCCCTGATGGGGTTAATTCCAGACCACTATCAGGAGCTGCTTTTACTGTACTGGGAGGACTTAGGGAGGCCTGACACCACAGCTTAATTATTGCTCTGCCTGGGGTGTTTTGTCCTTGGAAAGGCCATTCCATGCAATCTGGGACTAGCTCACCTCCTCTCTGTCTGTCCCTTGCCCTCGAGGGACACTGCTCCTCTCTGCTTGTTGGCTCATGGTATTGAGCAGCAGTGCCCTGTCCCAAGACCAGGGCAGTGAGTAGGTTTCTGCTTGTGCACTCTCCTCTCTAGGGCTCCTGATTATCCTGGTAGTGGCAAGTTCTGTTGCTGTATGGTGTCTGTCCAAAGCAAAACGCAGATCTGACACCTCCAGTCTTGAAAAAGCATCCAGGGAACAGCTGATGCCTGGCAAGGGCCAGAAAGGCTCCTTGCCCTGAAGGGTAAGTGTTTTGCATCCTGTGTGCTCCAAGTGCCTGAGAGAGAAATTCGTTCTTGCCTTGTGTTTCTGGCTTCTAGAGCTTTCCCCTTTGGGGGTAGGTTTTCCCAGCTTTCCTGATGCTTGCCAACCAGGTGCGCGGGGTTTCGGTCTGCCCTGCAGCAGCAGAATTCTCCTCTTTCCTCTCTGCTGTCAAGGACATGGAGCAGTCCTGCTGAGATACTGGTCTTCTGGTGTGGGACTTTTTCCTCCACTTTGCATAAACTGAAGTCAAACTAGGTTTCTTCCTAAGGGACTGTCAATAACCAGGTGTTTTTCTGGCTTTGTAACAGGGATCCTTATCCCAAGGTGATAAGGTGAGACTAGCCTGGTCTGTCTCCTGCTCACCACAGAGCCTGACTGAATTGGACATCAGCTCTCAAATCTGGGTTGTTACACTGGAATACCAAGAGGATGCTCCCTTTGTAAATGGGTCTTAGATTGTAGGACTACCTTGGCTCCAGAAATAGCACAGGACCTTCCCTGGCGCTGTACATCAGCCCTCCCCGAGGGTAGAAATGTCTTCATTGTTCTGCATGACAGTCGTTACTGCTGATGACCACCACTGTGGCCTTGGACTCGAAGATGTTTTTCTCCTTGAAATGCCAGGTGCTGTTCAACTGTCTCCTTCCACTTCCAGCCGAGACCCTTTTTTCATGTGTCCCATTCTTCCCCCTGGATTTTGTCAGGGAACAGGAGCTTTCTCACCTATTTCCAAAGGCACTCACTGGCTGCACAGGTCAGACAAATACTCCATGTTTGCACTACTGTTTGATGCTGCTCAGTCCCATGCATGGGAGGCTTTTACTGACAGTGCCACTGTGGGGGTGACAGCTGCTCTGGCTTTGCTGTGCTGTCACCTGAGCCCACGTGGGGCAAGGAGCTCCTCGGCCCTGGGCTGGCAGCTCCTCTCACACTCCCTTCCACAACATCTCCATGCTTGGCAGACCTGCTCTGCCCACCCCAATGCTGAATGCTGCATGGGGCTGCTCTTAACACTCTTAATGGCGTCGTCCTTAAAACTGTTCTGACATGAGTGGTGTCCCTCGAGGGTCCGTACTGGGACCAACGCTACTCCATGTTTTCATCAGTGTGTAGAGTGAGATCAGGTGGACCCTCAGCCAGTCTGAGGATGAGACCAGGCTGAGGAGTGCAGCTGGGGAGGGGGATGTCATCCAGAGGGACCTTGAGGCCCACAGGAACCTCATGAAGTTTGATAAGGTCCTGCACTTTTGTTAGGGCAAACCCTGGACGAGAGATGGCTGCAGGGAGCCTTGTTGTGTCTTGTCCATGTCTGAAGGGGGATTGTAGGAAAGATGGAGAGAGGCTTTTCACCAAGGCCTGTAAGGACAAGGGGCAACAATTCCAAACTGACAGAGAGTGGGCTTAGGTAGGACACGAAGGAGGGTTTTATGGTGAGGCCCTGGCTCAGGTTGCCCAGAGCAGCTGCGACTGCCTCATCCCTGGGACCAAGCTGGACAGGGCTCTGAGCGTCTTGGTCTAGTGCAGGTGTCCCTGGAAATAAGTCATGTCTTTGGCCAGGGCTCCACGTGCCACACAGACAGCATCTGACCCAAGGACTGAGTGCTGTGTACCTCTCAGAACTGACTGTGCAAGGGCAGATTAGTGCCCAGTGCCTCTGGTCCGGCGTTGGCCACGTGCACCTTGCACAAATGATCACTAAGTGCGCCAAGCTGCTGCCTTCGCTGCTGACCTCTTGTGCCTTGAAGGTGGGAACTTGGCTTGCCAAGCAGACGCCAGTCATCAGCCTTGGAGTAGGAGTCTTCTGCTCCTGGATAGCATGCGAGTGCTGCCGTACTCCATGGGAGAAACTTCTATATGTGGTATGGAGTCCTGAGTTATTCCAGGGCTGCTATTTTTAGTACCAAGGAGTCATTTGCAAGGGCACACACAACCTTCTGTTTCCATAGGGACAGAGAGATAGCTGTGGTGACTGACACAGAATAATAAAGAATGTGAAATTAACAAGTTCTGGAGTTCTTATTTTCCTGGATATGTGCATTTGCATGGATTCTGCATTTGGGAGGCCAGGGGCTGCATGACCTTTGGATTGTCACATCCTGGGAAAGAGGACTTGGGGTGGGTGGGCTGGCATGGGGCGCTGTGGGGAAGTCAGTGCTGCTGTGCCTGCCTGGGACAGATGCAACTCCAGCACACACCAGGTGTAGCAGAGAAAATTAAATACAGGAACAAAGCAAACAGAAAGGGTGGGGACAGGAGGAACAGATGCCACAGTAGCACCTCTGCTGCCACTGCTGAACCGTGGACAAGTGGGGAGCTCAGCCAAAAGCAAGGTGAAAAAAATGCCTGAACTTGTCCCTTCTTTGCCAGAGCAGAGCACGAAGTGGGGAGCATTGCGGGGTGGGAAGGGCTCCAGGAGTCCTGGCAGGACAGGGCTGAGCTGGGGCCAGCTGAAGCACTGGTGCTGGCAGGGCCATGTGGCCGAGGTCAGCTGTCAGCAGCCGGTCCCAGATCATGCTCTGAGCTGCACCTGCCAAGCTGAGCCCGGCTGTTCTGTGCTAAAAGGCAGAGTGCTTCCCCCGTGCAGTGGGGAGTGAGGCCCTGAGGCAAACTCACAAGACATTGCAGGTTTTGCTTTCTGCTCCCTGAGCTGAGTGCTTCAGGATTGAAAGAAACACATTTTATGGATCTTGTGCCGAAACTCGGGACTGTGTTGCTGACAGCAATTTCCCTTCCTCTGTCCAGTGCTGTTGTTCTAATCCCCAGGCTCAGAGACTTCAATTGTAGTGGAGCCTGAGCTGCTTTTCAGGCCAGGAGCATCTTTGTGCTCTATCTATGTCTCTGTATTTAATTAGACCAGTTCATGGAGATCAATGTGACATTTTACATGTTGAAGTAGGATCATGTTCCAGGATAAGATGTCAAAGATCAGCCTGTTTAATTTTGGTTCCCCTTTTACTTCCAGATTCAAAGGATTATTTTCTTCTTTTCAGTTCCAATACTTCAGAGGAACTTTTACTGCCTACTTGCATTTCCAGTGTCCTGTTCCCTGTTCCTGTCCCTGCCTGGCTGCGTCATGGGGCTGAAGGCTGATGTGACAGCACAGGACAGGGGCACAGGGGCAGCTTGTCCCTCAGAGGATCTTCTCAGACACTGTGGAGGTGGAGGTGATGCCTTCACCTCATCCCCTCTAAATCTGCACTGTGGGACTTGAGGGATGAGCTGAGAGGTCATGACCATCTCCCTTCCCTGGCTGTGACAGCTGACAGCCGGGGCAGCTGTATTAGCCTTTAACGAAGGGCTGGTGCCAAGAGCAGCATCTGGTGTGGGGATACAAAGCCAGTACAAATCCTGCATGTCTGCACCTTCCTGTCCCATCAACAGAGGGTAAATTGAGGCAGGTTTGTGCTCTTTCCAGTTTGCTGTCATGGATGTCCTTCCAGGAAACAGCATCCAGCAAATGCAAACAGCTAATAAGAACAGAATAAGGCAAAAGAGAAGTGCAGAGCTAGAAATAGTTCCTTACATAAAGGACTAGTGCCTTAATCTCATTAGTGTCTTAAGGAGCGGGCACTTGGCCGCCTCCGACTGCTACGATGCAAACCTCAATCTGATCAGCAATCGGCTTTGGGACCCCGGCAGGTGCCACGTGGCACTGGGACACAGCTGTGCCCCTCGGGCGGCCACTCCGCTGCCCCAAGCTTGCAGCATTCGTCCCAGTCAGCATGTGGCCAGTGGGAGCATTCCCATGAAGCCAGAGCTGCTGTCCTGTGGCCCATAACAGGAGTCACCACTTTGGAAGGCTGGGCACCATGAGGCAGCAGTGGACCAGGCGCGCGAGTCTCTCGGCCAGCCTGAAGATAGGGGATCACCGGGGCCGCTGCCGGACCCTGGAGGAGGAGGAGTCCTACATCCCATTTGCACAGGATAGCCTGATAAGGCAATGGAACTCCATGCAGAACGTGGCAGATAGTAACCAGGAGAAGAGCCAGACTCCCATCCAAAGGAACAAGTATCTGCTCAACATTAATGTGGGTGGCAAATTGTTCCAGATAGCTTACAAGGTACTGGCCCAGTATCCCATCACCCGGCTTGGGAAGCTGGCGCTCTATACAGACCCCATGAAGAAGCTGCAGCTCTGTGATGACTACTTGGTGCAGAAGAATGAGTACTTCTTTGATAGAGATCCTTCAATTTTCCACTACATCTTCCACTTCTACCGCAGTGGGGTCCTGTGGGTGATGGACGAGATGTGCCCCAGTAACTTTGTGGAGGAAATTGAGTACTGGGGAATCCATTTGAAATACTCCCAACGCTGCTGCCGGATCCTGTTAGAGGAAAAGCGAGATGAACTCAGTGAGTACCTGAAAATAGAGAAGGAGCTGGAGGCAGAACTGGAGCCCCTGGCTTCAGAGACACAGTTTGAAGGCAAGTTTCTGGGTCGATTTCGGAAGATGGTCTGGAACCTCATTGAGAACCCGTACTCTTCTGTCCCGGCCAAGATCATTGCTGTCATGTCGAGCTTCTTTGTGCTTATCTCCATTGTGGGCATGACACTGAGCACAGTGGAGGAGATGAAAAACAAGACAGGGAAAATGTGGATGGAGCAGATGGAGATGATCTGTGCCATCTTCTTCACCTGTGAATACCTCATGCGGCTCATATCCTCCTCCAGCTTCAAGAACTTTCTGCGAGCAGCGTTTAATGCTATAGACCTGGTGGCCATCCTGCCTTTTTATATCCAGATCCTCTTTGAAAATCTGGATGATGGAGACATGCAATACCATGAGGAGCTGCACAAGGTGGAGAATGTGAGCAAGCTGGGCAAAGTCCTCAAGCTCATCAAGCTCATGAGGATCTTCCGCATCCTCAAGCTGGCACGTCACTCCACTGGCCTCCGGGCCTTCAGCTTCACCATGCGCCAGTGCTATCAGCAGGTTTGCTGCCTTCTCCTCTTCATTGCCATGGGGGTCTTCACCTTCTCTGCTCTCATACACTCGGTGGAACATGATGTCCCTGGCACTGACTTCACCAGTATCCCCTGCGCGTGGTGGTGGGCAGCGGTAAGCTGTGAGCAGCATCTTGCGGAGGGGGGTGGGGGAGGCTCCTTGGGTAGGGGCTGCCCCAGTGCTCAGGGCATTCACCACTGCTGCTGGGCAGGAGGCAGAAAGGGCCCAGCCTTCCCACCAGCTCAGTAATGGTGGGAGTGCCCTGTGTGCTCTGAGAAAAGAAGTCAGAGGTTTGGACTGAGCTCAGAGGCTCAAAAGCTGATGCTGGGGTGGGATGGGGGGACAGAGGTGGTGGCTTGGGAGCCTCCAGGCCTGAGTTGAACAAGGGGGATGTGACTCAGCTTCATCTGTCATGGGACCCACGTGCTGAGTGGCTGCAGCCTGTGGGTATGGGGACAGCCACCCTGGACAGCCTAAGGCCTGGACAGCACTGCAGCCCTGCTGAGCTTGAGGGGCACAAGAGCTTGTGGGTCTGAGATGGGGAGCCCATAGCCACAGTGTGACTGTGGCTGCATGTGGCACCCACAGTCACACTGTGCCTCAGCCCGTGTCATGAGAGTGGACACAGACTGGGCTGTGCTGCCCGTTTGCTGCCCTGCTTGTGCCAGGAGCCGGCAGCTCTGCAGAGCTGAGCACTATAGTAAACCTGGCATTACCTCCGAGATGGGGAGCAGTTAAGCACTTGAGAGCCACAGGTTATGAGGACATTTTGATTTACAGATTAAATGATCCCACAGATCACTTCTGCTTTTGTAATCCCCTTTTGCCACTGAAGGTTATCTGCTTCAAATTCATCCCTCCTCAAGGAAGGGTAAAATCACTCAGCAACATCACCAGGTTCAAGCATTTCAACATCCTAGGCTGAGCCTTTCCCTGAGAGCACAGCTCCCTGCCAAGCCCAAAACTCTCTGGCCTCAGATCTCACCATAGCCCTGCTCCGCATGTACTAAACATGGTTCATTCCCAGGCAATGCTTCTGTTTCCCCTGGAGGGAGGCTCCAGGAAGCTTTGTTTGTCTGGGGCCAGGCAGCTCACAGCCAGGAAGCTCTGGAGCCACGGCTCTGAGGGGGGAGGAAGCTCCTGCAGATGCTGACTGCTGGGGAAGGCTCAGCTCAGGGGTATCCAGCTGCCTTTGAAGAGACACACACAAAAGCAGTGAGGGAGCAGAGTCTGGCCTCTGATCTGTGTTTCCTGGGTTCAGCCAGCCCTTTCCTTCGTCTGTCCAGGCCTGCTGGGCGCAGCCTGGGCAGTGGAGCCCTGGCCGTGCAGGTTCTGGAGAGGGGACAGCTCAGATGGCAGCCATCGGGGTCAGGGTCTGGCACTGGTCACAGGGAGCAGGCGGCTCCACAGAGGGGCGGGAGGGAGTGAGTTCCTGCACCGGCTGGTGAGGTCTGCTGGGCTTCTTCCCATAGGATTTTATCCTTTTCTGTCCCTGCACAGGTCAGCCTCTCCACTGTGGGCTATGGAGACACTGTGCCTGACACAATACTCGGCAGGATGGTGGCATTTGTCTGCATCTCCTTCGGCATCATCCTCAATGGAATGCCCATTTCCATCCTCTACAACAAATTTTCTGACTACTATGCCAAGCTGAAGGCCCATGAGATGAGCCAGTCACTTCAGCTTTCCAGGAGGATCCGCCTGAAGAAGCGAGTCCTGCAGAAGTTCTCAGAGTGCTGGAGAGCTGACCCCCACTATTACCACTGACCACAGGCTCCCCACCGCCCAGACATCCCCTGTCCTGGCCATCCTCCCAGTAGGTCCTGTCCCCCGGGGAGGCTCCAAGCTATGGGCAGTGCTGGGGCTCTGCTGCTGCACAGGGGTTGCTCCCAGCTGGGACCTCTCTCACTGCTGCGTGCCGGACAATGCTGTCCTGCAGAGCGGTCAGTCAGGGCTGTACGGCCAGGGCAGGATGTTTGTCTGCCATGGGCTGAGGCAAGGGGCACCCTGACATCACGGGGAGTGAGGGATGGGACTGGACTGTCACCTGTGTGAGGCAGGTAGCCCAGTGTGACTCGTACAGGTGCTGCTCCGTTTCCCGCTGAGTGGGACACACCCAGGCTCCCACTGCCCAGGGCCCCATGACTCCCTCCCAGCCAAGCAGCCCAGGCCTAGTCCAGTTTGGGGATTTGGGTGAAGGCCCAGAGGAAAAGCTTACAGCCATGCATCCTTCCAGCCAAATCTGCTCTTCTTCCCACTGCCCTGGAGTTTGGTCCTGACTTGGGGTGCTGCTGTGATGGGACCCACAGGCACTATAGGCATACAGAGCTTGTAGCCAGAGCACCCCCAGGAACAGGATTTAATAAACCAGGCCCAACCTTCATTGTCATGGATTCTTGTCCAGCCACTGTGTGTGATTCAGTAAGCTGCTCATCATTTGGAGTGAGGAGAGGACATCTCCCCAGGGCTCACAAGTCCATCAGTGCAAGGACAGGGCTCTCAGAGATGCAGACAAGCCTGTCCATGCATTAGTTTTGGAATGAGGTACCTGGGCCTGGGTGCATTGGAACTGGAGCTGGGACATGCATATGATCAGGACACACCTGTTGGCTCTGGCCTGTGTTCACATCATGGGAGGCAGTGGGAAACATGTCTGGGGGGGCACAGGGCAAGGATTTGTCCTCCAATGTGGGACCATGTCCAGTGAAAGAGCCTCCTGAAGGGATATACCCTTCCCTTGAGTAAGATGGAGAGAGGGACCTCAGGCTGTGGAAAGGGTTGGCATGGGGAAGGGCCAAGAGCTGCTGGTGCTGCTTCCAGGTGAGCAGGGGGAAGAAACTGGTGCCAGCCAGGCCAGGGTGCAATTCACTCTCTTGTGAGCTGGAGATGCAGTGGTGCCAGGGGACTCCTGGTGTCAGCCTGGGACTGTGGCCAAGCTGCTGATGTTGGAAACTTGGAAAGAGACTTGGAGGAGCTGAGTGCTCTGGCAGGGACAGCCACACTCCTACTGAGAGCTGGATGGCAGGGGACAAGGGAGCTGTGCCACCAGATGTGAGGGGTGCCACCTATACCCACTCCCCAGTAACCCTCATTGACACCCACCCTCTGTACACCTGACCCCACAGCCTTGGGCAGCTCTGGTTTCCACCCCCTTTCTCTTCCATGAGGAACATCCTCTCTAGACACAGCAGTGTCCTCTTACCATCTTCCCCCAGAGCTCTCCTGCCCCACTGTCCTGGTTTCAGCTGCAATAGAGTTCATTTTCTTCCCAGTGGCTGGTATAATGCCATATTTTAGATTCAGGGCGAGAATATTCTTGACCACACACTGATTTCTCAGCAGCCAATTGCTACTAGGAGACAGGCTGGGCACAGATCAGTGGCTGCTGAGCAACTGGGTATTGGGTATCATTTGTATGTCTTGGGGTTTATGACTGCCTCCTTTTAGCATCTCCCTTTTAATCAAAAATGTTATTAAATATTACCATATTTTATTTTATTTCCATTATTGAACTTTCCATATCTCCACCCACACATTTAACCTTTTCTGATTCTCCTCCCCATCCCACCAGGGTCAGGGGAGAGGCCAGTGGCTGCATGGTGCTTAGTTGCCATCTGGGATTAAACCACAACAGCCACCACTCACCTGCCCCAGCAGCATCATCTCCAGGTGTCTCTATGGACACCCCCATCCCACCCCAGACCCTGTCACCACATTCCCCCAAGCACCCCCATCGCCTGCTCATCTCCCTGCACCCCCAGTTGCAGGCTGATGGGTCCTGAGATTGTTCAGCTTTCAAGGAATGGGGCACACCCACCCCATCCCCTTGACCCTGGAGACTGCGCTGCAGCTGCATCTTCATCCCTCCGTGTGCACCCCCTTTGCTGTGCCTGGGAGATGTCTGCTTGCCCTGTTCCTGGCAGCAGTTCAGAGTCCACAGGCAGCCTTTGGAGGACGGCACTTTTAAATAGTTCCCCTGAATTAATTTTACAAGTCACAGCAATGCAGGAATGTACAGACATTTACAGGACATTGTACAGATGGTTTCTGTCATATATTAGTGCTCTTGCTATATACATATAGTGCAGCCTGCAGGAGCCTCTGCATGGGCAGAGACACCCATGCCCCTGCACAGGGCGCCCCAAAATGGAGCTGCTGCCCTGGGGCTGCTGGTTCACACGGGCTCCTTCGGCTTGGTTTAATCAGGGCTTGGCCCTGAGCCTTCCTTGGCTGGCCCTGTCAGGGGGTGACACCAACCTAAGCAGACCCAGCACACCCTTGCTTTGCTTGTCCCAGTCTCTTTCAGAGGATTTGTGGGACAGAGACCCCACTGATGCTCTGGAGGGAGTGGGTGCAGTCCCACTGCAGCGGTGTTTCCAGCCCCTGCTCCTCCTGCCTCAGTGGCAGCCGCAGCTCCCAGCCACCATGTCATCGTACTGCTTGAGGACCACGTTCTCGTCATCATCGAAGTAGAGGAGGTTGATGGAGTGGAGCTTGTCGGGCACACAGCAGGGGCTGCTGACACCCTCGCTCAGCTTCAGGGCGTTGATGATGGACTGCACTGTGGCATGGTTCGTCGGCCGCATGTTCTCTCCCAGAGGGAAGGGGCAGGAGCCTTTGCAGTGGAAGGCGTTGTACCCCGGCGGTGAGATGATCCAGCCAGACCAGCCAATCTCCTCGAAGTCCACGGACAAGGAATGCCTCCGGCAGGGCTGGAACCGGTTCAGCGAGCGTGTACTGCGTGACCTGCCCAGCTTGGGCACCGGGAGATCAGGGCCTTGAGGCTTTAAATCTGTCAGAAAGGAGCACCCGATGTCATTGACCACAATTGCCATTGTGTGAGCCCGGGTGGAGGGAGAAGATACTGCAGCTCCCCCAGCCACCCCTCCCCACAGGTTTTGTCTGTAACCCTCTGGTCACAGCCTGTCACTAGCCCAGACAGAGCCACCAGGAGGTGACAGCCTCAGTCTCACTGCCAAACTCAAATCAACTCAAATCCATCTTCACATCTGCACGCTCGCAACACCCCTGAGCAGACTGCACCAGAAAGGAGAGAGCCTCTCCCACCAGCCAGGGAAGGAGGTTTGGATTTGAGGAGCCCACATGTGGGGAGCACCTCCTGAGAAAGGGATGTTGGCAGCGAGGGAGTCGCGCCAGGCGTGCGGGACCCACCTGGGAAGCCGGCTGTGGGCAGCGACGCTCCGCGGCGCCCATCGTCCGTGAAAAGGACCAACATGGGCTTCTTGCTCTCATGGTGGCCCTGGCCAGATGCAAACTGCAGTGGTGGGGGGTCGAGTGGGCTCCCCCCCAGACTCTGGACTGTCACCAGCAAACCATGGTTGCTGCTTTCATCTTCGGTCCAGTCGCGAACCTGGAGAACCAAAGCAGTGTCACCATGGACCAGGACAGGCACTGCGCCAGTGTCCCCACAGGCAGGTCCCAGACCAGCAGCAGGACATCATGAACAGGGACCCCTTGAGGCCACACTCTGTGTGCCATGGGAAGGGGTTGCTCCGGGGTTGCAGCACAGGGGACACTGTGGCAGGAGCCAGCACCAGCACACCCTGCAGAGCAGTGAGACAAGGTCGGGGAAGGATGAAGCAGCCCCAGGGCTCTTGGCAGGACTTTTTCCTCCCCCTCCCAGAGGATGTATTCCCCCCATGTCACTGCAGAGACTGCAGACAGGAAACTACACTGGAGCCTGAAAGGTGAAAACAGAGGAAAAGTGACTCACAGCTGGCGTGATGGCAAAGACCTCCCAGCCCGAGGTCTGCAGTGAGACAAGCCGTGCTGCCAGCAGCTTCTTCCCTCCAGGGGCGTCTGGCTTGTCTTTCTCCAGCACCTGGTACACACTGACCTGGGGAAAGCAAAAAATGGTCACCCCAGTGTATTCTGCCCGAGGGGTTGATCCTGGACAGAGGTGTAGGGGGAGATGGGGAGTTGTCAGCATGGATTTGTAACAACCTTTGCTGATGTTTGCACAAGCCAGAAGGATATTTAAGAACCTGCCACAGCTAAATCATCATGATTCTCTGGGAAACATTTGTTCATGTGATCCTAGAGCCAGACTGTGTTCCCACTAGAGGCAATTGACCACAGTGTGCCAATGGCACACCTGGGCATAGGCTGGGGGACAGCCCCGTCCCTGTCCCCATCCCCGTCCCTGTCCCTGTCCCCATCCCTGTCCCCATCCCCGTCCCCATCCCCGTCCCCATCCCTGTCCCCGTCCCCGTCCCTGTCCCCGTCCCCGTCCCCGTCCCTCTCCTCACCTGGCAGAAGTGGTGCCTTTTGGGCCCATCTGTGACCCTCGGCCAGAGGCGGAAGAGGTGCAGCTCTGCCGTCAGGATCTTCTCGTTCTTGGCCACGCTAGAGAGGACGAACAGGAACCGCATCTCCTCGCTGTGAGCTGGAGAGAAGGATGTGCTGAGGAGAGCAAAGCCAGGGGCGGCACCGCCACCGGCCACGTTCAGCCCCTCCCCACAGCCGCACCCCAGCACCACGGGGACGACCCCCGCCCTTACTTTTGTCCAGGAAGCTGCGGACGGTGTTGCCCTCCAGGATGTCAGGGTTCTTGGTGACACCATCCGCGTTGGCGACAGTGTTGAATAGATCCACCATGTACTGGGGCGGCTGCTTGAATTGAGTTGGGGGTGCCGGCGGGTCTTCCATGCCAAAGACTTCCAGGAGTTTTTTCAGCGCCTCAGCCCGCCGGCTCGCCACGCTGGCTGGGCTCGGACATGCCGTCTTGGCCAGGGCGAGCAGCAGCAGGACAGTCCGCAGCATGGCTCTGTGCTCGCTGTCCCTGCACAACTGCCCCGGCCTCCCTGGTGCTGCATTTATAACTCACTGGAAAGCTGGACTGGAGTGAAATATGCACAGGAGCAATCAGGAGGGTAAAGAGAGTTAATTGCCATGCTAACAAGGTGAGAAGCCCGGCTCCCGGGCCCCCTGCATCAATTAGCCCCAGTACACAAGCGGGAGGCAGGACGGCTCACCAGGCACCCCTAGGGCTGGCAGGGGAAACGGGGGTCTGGGGCCACCAGCCCCTTGCCAGGGCCTCGGCTGGGCTGCATTTGCTCTCCGTAGGAGACTAACTGGATTTTAATGACGGCACTAATGGGACAAATCGGAGGACCTTTGTGTGGAGGAATGCGGCCCATCAAGATGAGCATCCCCTGCCCGGGCCGGTCCTGCCGCAGCGGCTCGTGCTGCCCCTCTCGCAGCCGCTGCTGAGAGCGAGGGTCGTGGCGGGGTTCAGTGTCACACTGGTGTCCCCACACCATGTCCCTGTCAGTGTGCAGGGTGGGGACAGCCCAGGCTGTGTGTCCTGCCAAGGCCGAGGAGAGCCGAAGCACGGGGCAGAGCAGGTTCCAGCAGAGGACCCGGCGGTGCTGCGGCCCCGGCCCGTGCGGTCACACCGCAGCAACAGCAGCACCCTAAGCCAGCTTTTTTTCCTTTTTTTTTTTTTTTTCTTTTTTAAGAAAAAGGCTGGGAATTAAAAGGCATTTGCTGTTAATTCCTGAATGCTTGAACTTTATGAAACACCCAGGTAGTGGGATAAAAGCCAATTCTTTAGGTCTTACTCCCCAGTCACACAGAGAAACCAAGCTGGTGCAGGTGGACATGACACACTGTACAGCTGCCATGGGAATGAACGGGAAAAAATTAGCATTAATTAACTAATTCATCAACTGGCTGAAGCCCTGCTAGGACCACCTGATGGGAGACAAGGTGAAGGCTAATGTCCAGCTGTGCCCACAGTTTATTCCAACCCAGAGGGCTGTTAATTATGCAGAACAGGCACGGCGGCACCGACCGGCTGGAGTGAATGGCATGGGGAAACTATCGGTATCCCCAAGATCCTTTCCCTCTTCTTCCCAGTTCACCAGCAGCACGTCCCACAGGCTATCTGGGGGTGCCTGCAGAGGAAACAGCTCTGCTCCGGCATGCTCAGCTCCTGGTTCCCTCTCCTGTCACCGGCTCCACAGTTTGAACCGGGCGCAGCCAGCTCGTGCACCCGCAGCCCGTGCCAGACGCTGCATCCTCCCGGGATGCTGGATGCGGAGGGGCCGTGGAGCTGCACAGCGGAGCCCCAAGGACCTGCAAATTGCCTACGATGTTTATTTTACAAGCTGCAAAACATTTTGTAGAGGGTTCATTTATACCCGCTGGTTAAAGTAGCTTTTATTCAAAAAAATAGCCTTCTCTCATTTACATATCCTACAGACAGTCTGGCGGGGTCTCCAGGAGCCCCACCCGCAGATTCCAGCCTCGCTATCCCCGGCACTCCCCGACGGCAGCGACGGTGCAGACTTGGTCCCGGCGGCTCCGGAACCTGTGCCTGTCAGAGCCGTGAGGGCACAGTGTCTCGGGGCGGCTTGTGCCCAAACCAGGCATTCCTCTCCGTCTTGTAACTCCTGCAGTTAGAGAAAAACCAGTACAGCCCCAGTACAGGCCCAGTACAGCCCCAATACAGAACAGCCCCAATACAGAACAGCCCCAATACAGAACAGCCCCAGTACATCCCCAATACAGCTCCAATACAGCCCCAGTACATCCCCAGTGCAGCCCCAATACAGCCCCAGTACAGCCCCAGTATATCCCCAGTGCAGCCCCAATACAGCCCCAATACAGCCCCAGTACATCCCCAGTATATCCCCAGTACAGCCCCAGTACAGCCCCAGTATATCCCCAGTATATCCCCAGTACAGCCCCAGTACAGCCCCAGTATATCCCCAGTACAGCCCCAGTACAGCCCCAGTACAACCCCAGTATATCCCCAGTACATCCACAGTACCCCACCGGCCCCCCACGACCTGGACCTTCTATTCACACTCAGGAAAAGGGCAGATCTCTGGAGCAGGATGGGGGAGAAGAGAGGCAGCTTTTTCCCTACAGCATCTATTCCTTACTCCTGGAGTAACTCGTGAGCTGTCACCTTCCCCTGGCTGAGCAGAGCAGGTCTTTCTTCTTGCATGGTTTGATTTGCTTCCCTGTGCATGCAAAGAATCCCAGGATGGTTTGTGTTGGAAGGGACCTTAAAGCCCATCTCGTCCCATCTCATCCCAACCCATGCCACAGGCAGGGACACCTTCCACCATCCCAGGCTGCTCCAAGCCCTGTCCAGCCTGGTCTTGGGCACTGCCAGGGATCCAGGGGCAGCCACAGCTGCTCTGGGCACCCTGTGCCAGTTTTTAAATTTTTTTTTTTTCCTACAATCAACACATAGTCCTGCCCCTTCAGCCTGAAACAGCTGCCTGGACTCACCCTGCCCCAGCAACCCCCTGCTCTCCTGCCCCCGCAGCTTTGCCAACAGATGAGGGACATGAGTGGCACATCCCGGGCTGCAAAAGCCACTGTCAGCATCTGTGTCTGCTCTCCTGGGACACCACAGGCTCTGTGGCCACCTGCCCGATTCAGCCCCATGGCGGCAGGTCCAGCTCCCCCCCAGCACAGCACAGCGCGGTGGGTGAGCTGGGGGTGCTCCCCAAACCCTGCTCCGTGTTCCCGCACGGCAGAGCCGCAGATGCGGCGGGGGAGAGGAGCAGGGCAGCTCCCACCTGGCCCGGGGTGCGGATGTGCGGGAGGAGAGCGGATGGAGCCCGGCAGCTGTGCTTACCTAAGCAAGCAGGGATCCCCCGAGGAGCAGCTGCCCAAGCACCTTCCCACATCCATTTCCTGCAAAGATTTGCAAAACAAAGGCACAGAAATCCCTTGCAGCACCTCAGCAGGGACACCTCAGGACCCTCCACCCTCCCTCCAGCCTTAGGCTCTGAATCCATCCCCAAAGAAGGGCAGCAGCAAGGCACGGCTGGCAAGAAGTATTTTGGGGGCATAACAGTGTTTTTTTAGTCAGAAACTTTGTAGCCTGTGCACAAAGTAGACAGTAGGGTCTCTGTTAAACTGAAGTAAGACCTAACAACTAAATATTTTTTTAAATAAATATCATTGTTCCTTAATTATTTTTTAAAGAAATCCTCACTCCAAAGAAAAAGTCATTTTTTCCTTTATGGCCCTAATACATGCACGAATTAGTGGCAGCAAAATACATTTTATAGCACAAGACAATACAAATGTGAGGTTTTTACCACTCTAGTTTGATGCTAGTGTAAAGCTGCCAACGTTAGAGCATCTACCTAGCAGCTCAAACCCCACATGACGGCCCAGCTGAGCCCACCAGAGAGGAGCCAGACCCCTGGAAATGCACCTTGAGCTGTTCCTCCCTGTGTCTTGCAGAGCTCCAGACAATTTCATAGTATTCCACTTGGGAGACACAATAGCATTTTCCCTTCATTTCGCAGTTCTCCAGTGTCTGAACCACCACCCCACCATGTGGGTTTTTGACCAGTGTTGAATTTTGTGGGCACACAGAAAAGTCCATCTGCAAGGAAACAAGATGGAAAATCAACCTGGAGCTGCACCCACGTTTCCTGCAGCAGCAGCACAGACCACCCAGCTTTAGGCATGCAGCACCCACTGGGTGCCCCAGGGCTGCTCTCTGTGTCAGGGTCCCAGCTGGGAGTTTGGGGCCCCTTCCTTCACCAGCTCAGGGCCTTAGTGGTAGGTTTTGTTCCTCCATGCCAGTTTCAGACCATGAGGAGAGGGAGGTTGTTGTGGGTGCAAGTTGTGGCTGCTGTCCCTGACCCTGTGAAAACCCCAGTTCTGGGGAGTGAGCACATGTTATCTCTGAGAAAAACTGTATTTGAACACAAAATATTGATGGCAGCACTCTTCTCAGAGCCACACTCTCTCACCAGGGATGGGGGAATGTGATTTAGCATTAACTCATTCCGCATTTATCCCTGGATTTGCCAGGGACTGTGCCCTGAATGGGCTTCTCAGATGCTGGAGCCAGTGTTAGGGGCTCTCCTGGAGATACATTGCCCAGACACCTCCACAGGTTTGCTCTGAATGGGCTCTCCACAGGAGCACCAGCTGTGGCATCTGCCACTGTGGGGTGGGGAAGGGAAGGGAAGGGAAGGGGATGCCCAAGTTCTGGGGTGTGGGATGAAGGTAGGATGGTACCAGAGAGATGGAAGGGGGAGGTGGGCAATGACCCCAGCTCTGGGGGTGCAGAACAAAATCCTGCTTTGCTTTTTCTTTCCCTATTCCAGCTTTAACTCAACGAAAAATTCCCAGGACACAAAGCAGTTCTGTCTGGATTTGACATTCCCAGTTTGGTTGCAGACAGCTGGCAGAGGAGGGGGTTCTGGGTGGACACACCAACAGCCACATCCCTGCTGCTGTGTCACCACCACACCAGGACATGCCACCATGGAGGTCCTGGTGGCCCAGGCAGGAGCTCAGCAACTGGAGGGAAGGGACAAGGGTCCTCCAGCTGCAACGACATCTCCTTGGAAGGGCAGAGGCACAGACTGTCCTGCGTGGCTCAGCCTGAGCTGATATTCTGTGCAGAAAGAAACTACACTGTTTCTGTGCTAAATCTCCTGGCTTTTCTCCATTCAAGTAAATTAGGGTTAAAAATCTGCATGGCATGAGCTAGAGGATGGGGAGAAGGATGGCTGAGCTGATGGCCAAGTGGGTTTGGGCTCTGTCTAGGACCTGGTCCTGCCCTGCCCCAGCCCTTGGGTGTACATCCTTCGGGTTTTTTTTGGCTGCTGGCTTTGAACCAGGTTTTGAGAGTTTCCTGCCCCCTCCCAACTACTTCAGCAGCTGCTGGAGGAGGTTTCTTTGTTCCAGGATGGGGCTGTTTCCAGGGGAAGGAAAAGTGATTTCTGAAAGCAAGTATTTCTGGGATGCCTTACGAGTGGGACACAAAATGACAACGGATTTCTGGACATCAGTGATTCTGGGTGAGATTTCAACAGGCTCTTCCAGCCCCGTCCCCCTCCCTCCCCCCGCCCCGTTCCTCTGATGATTCCAAATTTTTACCATGACACTGAAAGTATCAGCCCGACTTTATGCGGGAAGATGCAGAAGGAAAGTGCAGAGACCTGCCCTAGGGCAGAGGCGAGTCCACATTTGCCAGCCCTGGGCTATTACTGTGACTGAGATTCTCCCTCCCCACCCCATTAATTCCCCTCCCCGAGGCAACAGAATTGTCCAACACCTTCCACTAACACGTCTGGGAAGTAAATGCTGATTCTCCCAGCTCTGCAAGAAAGCACTTCACGCCGCCTAATCGCCTTTTCCACTAGCAGCTGGATAAGCAGCTGCCGCCGCAGCTGTGCGGCTCTGCGGGCGCTGCCCCGGGAGGGACCCGGCCCCGGGCAGCGCCCTCGGCCCCGCGCCCGCTCCCGGCCCCCGCAAGCGTGGAATGAATCCCCGGGCCCCGCGCTGCCCCTGGGCTCCCTTCAGCGCTGCCGCGGTCTCTGTCCCTCTCTAGTGGCGGTGCCGCAGCAGCTGCCGGGAGGTTTGAACGGACTGGCTTTTAGAAATGCCAAAAAAATTACATCAGCAAATTCCAGGGCAATGGAATTTGTCAAACAGTTGTGGTAAATCATTTCAACACCGCTTTCAATTCTGATAAAGTCAGTTCATCTCCGCTGACGTGTCTTGGGTTATTTTATGAGTGAACTCACGAGACAGCTCACCAGTTCACAATGAATGAGTTCAGCTTTGTCCCAGTGGGAGGTTTTGACCCATCTGGAATGATTCCGTTTGGAGTTTCCATTTCCAAGCGATTTTAGAACCAGCAGTGCAGTTCACTGATACTAAAAGGGCATTTTAGAGTGTCAGTAAGGAAATTGAATTTTCCAGTGCTCTGTTTCCAGCAGAGCTTTTATCATCAGGTTGTTTTCCTTGCTTTGATTGGGAGGGTTGGAGCAGAGACCCCCGAGGTCCCTCCCAGCCTGGGTTACTCTGATTCCATGCTCTCTGGCTAGAGGACATTTCCCCTGCATATGAGGTGGCTGTATCCCCATTCTCACCCATGCACACAGCAGAGAATTGTCACTGTGCTTGCAGAGCTGTGTGGTAAAGGCCCAGCAACAGGAAACTCAACCCTAAAACACAATCCCAGTAGCCTCAAAGGCAGAGGCTCTGCTCAGCAGACTGGGTGCCCTGAGCTTGGGCTTTGGTGGTGGTCACACAACAGGGCTTGTTCCCATACTCCCAGAGGGAGGGAGGGAGCAAGGGAGGAAGAGGAGCTCTCCCTGCACCGTAGGTTGGGTCAGAGCATTTCCCCACGTTGATTGTGACCCCCCAGGGAGAGTCTGGAGAGTCTTTTGTGATGAGCTGACCCATCTGGTTGACCCAGGAAAGCCAGTGGATGTAATCTTTTTGAATTTCAGTAAACTTTTTGATACTGTCTCTCCCAGGATCCTTCTGGACAAACTGTCCATCCCAGAGCTGGATAAACACATCATGGGATGGGTGAGCAACTGGCTCATGGGTCAGGCATGAAGGGTGACAGTGACTGGGGTGACATCAGGCTGGCACTAGTCCCCAGTGCGGTTCTGCAGGGCTCCATCCTCGGCCCTGTGCTCTTCAACAGCTTCACAAACGTCTTGGATGCAGGCTGGAAGGGACACTGAGCATGTTCACAGGCAATAAAAAACTGTGAGGGGCTGCTGACTCCCTCAAAGGAGGGAGTCACCGCAGAGAGACCTCAGGAAATCAGAGGGCTAGATCATCACCAACCTATGAAGTTCAACAAGGGAAAATGCCGGACCCTGCAACTGGGATGGGGCAGCCCTGGATGCAGGGACAGACTGGGAGTGAGAGGCTGCAGAGCAGCGCCGTGGGAAGGGCCCTGGGGGTCCTGGTCAGTGGCAAGATGGATCTGAGTCACCGCTGTGTCCTGGCAGCCCAAAGGGCCACCCTGTCCTGGGGGGCACCAGGCCAGGGAGGGACTGTCCCACTCTGCTCTGCACTGGGGCAGCCTCACCTCCAGGGCTGGGGGCACTTTGGGCACCACGAGATCAGAAGGATCCAAAGCTGTTGGAGAGGGCCCAAAGGAGAGCAACAAAGATGGTGAAGGGCTTCAGGGGAAGCCATTTGAGGAGCATCTGAGAGCACTTGGTCTGTACAGCCTGCAGGAGACTGCAGAGAGACCTCATTGCAGTTACTCCTTCCTTGTGAGGGGAAGAGGAGGGACACTGATCTCTCCGCTGTGGTGACAGTGACAGGACCCGAGGGAATGGGCTGAAGTCACGTCAGAGAGGTTGAGGCTGGGTATTAGAAAAAGGTTCTTCCCCCAGATGGTGGTCAGGTACTGCAACAGGGAAAGGTCACAGCACCAAACCTGACAGAGCTCCAGGAGCACTTGCACAATGCCCTGGGGCACATGATGTGACTCTTGGGGATGGCTCTGTGCAGGGCAGGGAGTTGGACTTGATGATCTTTGCAGGTCCCTTCCAACTCAGCATATTTGGTGATTATATTTTCATCATTATTTATTCTTCTAAAGTTGGTATCTCTGGAGCTGACAAGCTGTCACTGCTTGTAATAGCTCTTAATTTGGTTATGATAATTTTGTCATTCCTATTGTACACAAGAAGCTGGTATTTGGCAAACATTAAAGGTGAAATTTGTACAAGTGCTGCTCTCATGCACTGAAAAATCATAAGAAACCTCAGAGTGTGAAGCTGTTGTGTTCTTACAGCCACTGCAAAGGGGAACAACGTCCACAGGCTGCTCCTGAAGGCCACAGACTTTTTTCTGATGAACAAATGGAGCTACTTTCTACTTCATCTGCTTTCTCTACTTTTACAGGGCAGCTTGTTGTCCTGCTGATAGCACTTCCAATATCAATCCTGGGAAGCAAAAGTCTGCAGTTGCCCTGAACTTATGCAGCAATAAACAGGGAATTCAAACACAGCATCAACCATGGTGCGGCTCAGGTCCAGGGAACTGAGCTCCTTTGTGCAAAGGAACAGACCCAGGGGTCAAGCTATTCATCAATTCCTGTGCTAAAAAAGATGTTTAAGTGTTGGATTATCTGGGCAACAGGTCCCCAGCACATTTCTGTCCTTAATCCCCCAAGGGAAAAGTCACTTGGAAAACTTCAGCATAAAAAAAAACAGCCAAGGGATGGGCAGGATGTGAGTGTGGAAGCATCAAGAATCTTGGTTTCTGGAGGGTGAAGGGGAACTCAGAGGAGCTGTGGCTGTCTCATCCCTGGCAGTGTTCAAGGCCAGGCTGGACAGGGCTTGGAGCAACCTGGGATAGTGGAAGGTATCCCTGCCTATGACAGGCGTGGAAGAAGATGAGCTTTAAGGTCCCTTCCAATCCAAACAACTCCATGATTCTCTGAACTCACCGTGCCCAACATGGAGGAAATGGCTCTGCCTCCTGCAGCAACCCCTTTCTCCAAACAGATTTCCATGCTCCTCCACTCTGCTGACAGCTCCTGCAGTCACAGGAGCCCAGCATTACCCCAGTTACAATTCCCCACCTTTTCTGCCTGAGCTGGGATGAGGCACTGAGTGCCCAGCACAGCTCCAGCTGCTTCCTATCCTGAACTAAACGGCTCCAGCACAAAGAAGAGATTTTGTTACAGATGTACATGACACACCTGACCCTGGCCGGGTGGGCTGAACAGCCTGTTTAGTTACTCCAGGAAAACACTCTGGCACTGTTTCTCTCACTGTTTATCTGCTCTCTTCTATTTCTAGCTTACTGCAGACCTGGGTGAAAGGCATCCCCTCTCACAGCACAAAGGAGCTCATGGGCACTAAATCCCCCAGACTCCTGCACAGCAGCTTCTCTTCTGACACAAACCCCACGCTGCCTGCCCAGTGCAGACACCCTCCGAGCTGCTCACTGTGGAAAGCACACCCCCACCACAGCAGCATCATCTGTGAGCAGAGCCCACCACAGCCCCACACCACAGCCCCTGCTCTCCCAGCCAGAGGCCAAAGCAGTGCCAGGGCCAAGAAGGGAAAAGGAACTTACTGGCAAAGATGGGAGCCTGCAAGAGCCCTGCGAGGAAGACCACAGCTCGTGGCTCCTGCAATGCTACACCCTGGGAGGCACAGGAAAGTCTCCAGTACCTCTGACACTTATACCTGCCCTCCCTGGCAGGTGACAAGGTGAACAGCTTTGAGCCAAACAGGCTCACATATCCTGGCAAATGTCCCCTGACTGCGATCTGAACAAACCCCTTGGCCCTGGGAAATGAGCATCTCTCCCACATGATCAGGCTTGGATCAGGCTCTTAGCAAACTTCTAAGTGTTTCTTGAGAGCCACTGTGACTGGGAACCACTCTCAAATACCCTAATTTGAAAGAACATGCATCCTTCATCCTCCTTCATCCCATTCAATGGCTCTATCTGGGGACAACCCACACCAAGTGGAGTCAGAGCTGGCACTTGGACAACATTGGGAACACAGGACACGTCACAGCAGTGATGGCAGCACGTCCCTCACAGCCACACAGTTCTGCTGTTAACTCCAGGTAGGAAAGCACCAGTTAAAGTGGAAAAGCTCCAGTCACCAGACTGGTGCCCGTGTGCTGCCAGGGGCTCTAAGCCACAGCTGGTGGCAGTTCCTGAACACAGGATGGACTCAGCTCCTCACCAAGAACTCAGGGTCTCTGCACCAGCTCCTCCGGGGCACAGGGCAGGGAACAGATCCAGGTCCCAGGGAAAACATTTTGCCAGATTCAGGAGTGAGAGCACACAAGAGAGCAGTGATGGCAGCATGGACACTCCCCTGGCATTCAAAATGAGTTCAGGGGGTTGGGTTGGGGGTTTTTCCCTACAATTACTTACAAGTGCAACAGTCACAGACCCTTGGAGAAGCTGCACAGCCCTTAGGCCAAGCTGAGCTCCCCTGGAGCTCATCCCCAGCTCCTGGAGGACAGCTGGGTTTCTCTGGAATGGATGCCTTGAGAAAACAATTAGCAAAACCAAAATGCTAGAGAAGGCATCCTATCAAAACCACACCATTTCCCACCAGGCTACAGGAACCCCAGCCCAGAACAGGAATCAACACAGCTGCTCAACAACAACAACAACAACAACAATTTAATTGTGTTAAGAGTCAAACATATTAACAAAATCCACATTTCCATTAAAAAAATTCCTTGTGCCTGGGCACCTGAGCCAAGCCACTCTCTGTTCACAGCTCCGTGGTGCTGCAGAGAGAGGCTGGGACTGCAGCTGGGAGTAACTGCTGTGTAACCTGGCCAGAGCAGAGAGCTGCACTGCAGCCACATGGGAAGGAACATACAAAACAGTTATGAAAAAATATGCATTTTAAATAAAGAACTTACAACAACTTCAACTTTATACAAAATATCATGGCTGCCATGTCTCAATTTCAGTGTCTCAATTCTAGGAATTCTTTTTGAACTCTCAGCATCCTGTTTTCCACCTCACACCACCTCTGCTGTCTCCCCAGAGAGCTCTGTCTATGTCCAGCTCAGTCCAAAGTACCTGAAAATGAAAAAACACATTATAGTCTCAAGAATCAGAAGTGCAGTTCTGTGAACAAATAAATCTTGTTTACAAACTGGCAAAAGAAAATGCACTAACTTTAAAGTTTAAGTGAATCACACACAAGTAAAACCAAATCTAGCAAAAAAACCAAACTACTGCACGTGCCTCAGGGTCCAGCTGAGCCATTCTAGTGCTCACAGGGGCACTGCAAGCCACACTAGGAATTACTGAGGATGTGGAAACAGAGAGCTTTGCAAATGATTCAGTTCTTTCTCTCCTAAGTAGGTTATTACACAAAATACTGAAATCAAGTAGAAACTCACCTTCCAAAAAAGCAAATTCATCAATAGCTTCAATGGCATTATCTGAAAAGCAAATGGTGAAAAATTAAAATAGATAAACCAACTCCATATTTGCATCTGTTTCAAACTGCAGCATTTGAAATTACATCAGAGCACAGTGACCAATTTCAAAGAGATTATTTGTTTTGGAGATGGTGTGTGAAATTATTAGTGTAGTCTTCAGCAGAAGTTTTTCTCTCCCATCTTCAGGGAAAGAAAGAATAAATCCATAATTACTGCAGTACCTCCAGCCAGGTGGAAAAATCCCCGTCGGAGCAACCCTTAGCTAAGAACAGCACAGAACATGCTCCCATACCCAGGTCTTTTCTTTGCAGGGTTTTCCTTTTTCCTTGCTGGGCATACACATAAGCATCTTTGGCTATGGTTTCAACAAACAGCTCCTGCAAGGCAAAACAGGACAGGTTCACATGGGAGATGAGAGAGAGAATATCCTGACGAAAAGAAAGGTCCTACAAGGCTTCAGGATTAGATCAGAATCTTCATTCTAACATTACCCCTTCCTAGTAAACGGGTCTGAAAACACCAAAGGAAATGGCTGGACAGTGATGCACAGGACAAGCAGTGAGGGAGAAAGCTGGGAATGTGGGTTCCTCGAAACTCACATTCTCTGGGAGACCCACTCCACACCAGGGGCTCCCAGGATACCTTCTGAAGGGGGAAAGGTGTCCTGTGCTCAGGAGGTGAATCATGAAATCCTTCAGGTGGAGAAATACCTCTAAGATCATTGTGTCCAACCATCAGCCCAGCACCACCTCCACATCCACCACCACCCCATGTCCCCAAGCGCTACATTTTTTTGCACAATTCCAGGGATGGTGACTGCCCCGGGGAGCCTGTGCCAGAGCTTGACAACTCTCTCCATGAAGGAATTTTCCCAATATCCTGAACCTCCCCTGGTGCAGCCTGAGGCCACTTGTTGCTGTCCTGTGCCTTCTTGCTTGGGGGAAGCGACCGATCACCCCCGGCTGTCCCCTCCTGTCAGGAGCTGTGCAGAGCCACAAGGGCCCCCCTGAGCCTCCTTTTCTCCAGGCTGAGCCCCTTCCCAGCTCCCTCAGCTGCTCCTGGAGCTCCAGACCCTTCCCCAGCTCGGGCCGGCCGCAACCGCCACCCCGGGGCGGTGAGAGAAGGAAAAACCTCCTGGGCAAGACCGAGCAGCATCCCCGCAGCGTTCCGGGCCCAGGACCCCCGGGGCCGCCCCTCACCGTGGCCCGCGCCAGCACGAACACGGCCTCCTGGCTGGCCAGGGTCACGTCCGGGTCCGCCTTCACCAGCGCCTTCACCCGCGCCAGCGGCAGCCGGGCCAGGCGGGCCGGACCCGGGCCCTGCGGCCCCGCGCCCGCCGCCTCCTCCCCGGGCGCCGCCGCCTCCG